TCCCGTGAGTTCTGTTTCCGACAGTGTTAAAATATGACGCATTGAGTGAGATCCATATTTTATCATTATTTAGTGGATTAGTATCAGCTGTGCAACAGCCCCATGCATGTGCATTTCATTCCCATCTGCACATTTATGTGGTAGTTCATGGCCTCTGTGATTTTTATACGCAGTGTTCAATGTATTCAGTTCACACAAGCTGTCATTTAGACTCGGTCGTGAATGTCTGGGCAGAAAGAGAAGCAAAACAACTTCACACATTTATAGCAACAGTTATTGTCTCCATATACACCAGTGGTTTCCTTGTAAAAACCACATTTTCTTTGCATGTTGCAATTCTGCAGGTTTCAAATGTTATTCTAGTCTGTAATTATAAATCATCTTATGCAATTTTAGAAATATCATTCTCCAAAATAAGTTTCAAATGTAGACTTATATGTTTGGAGGTGTGAATAGGCTAAAGAATATCTCATGTGTTTAGTATGTAAGCGACGACTGAATTAGATTGATCTGACATTAAGGGGAATATGATGAAAGACTTGCCTCTGTAGCCTCAACGTCTGTCGGCTTTCAGAAAAAAAGGAAAAAAACTTTTTAGCAGAGTGCAGCCACATGTTCACTCTCTCTCCTGCTTCTGTTTTTGTCCTTTATTCTGAGCTCCAGACTCTTGGTTGGGGTATTGTACTCCTACGTGGCAAACACACACACACACACACACACACGCTTATACATTAACTCTCACACTCACGCAGGCCACATGCAGAGAGAAAGGAAAAAATGAAGTGATGCCTTTATGCATTTCATACATTTTATGTAATCGGGCTCAAGGATGAGGATTTTTTTCCTGCTTGTAGGATCATATATACGTACTAGTGATGCGCGGATGAGCTAAAACGTCACCCGAATCCGCAGCTTCAAATAAATTATCCACCCGCCAACCGCCCACACCTGTATTTTTGTCTGATTTAGACAACCCACCCATGTCACAGACAGTGACGTAAGGATTGTCGTTGAACCGTTTTGTAGAAATATTTATTCAGTGGATTGTATCCCTTGGTTAAAAGCCAACAGGTTTCATGGGAGAAACTGTTATCTTCAAAAAACACAATCACTTGATGCCAATAAGTTAATTTTTAAGATTAAAAATAGGTCAGGGTCTGTTTATCTTTCCTGTCTTATTTTTTTTCCCTGTGCTAATGTCATGAGTGTGCAGTGGTAAAATGTGAAGGCCCATTGAAACTGTCACAGCCCATAGAGAGCTGTTGAGTGTGTGTGTGTGTGTATTTGTGGAGGGTTAGCACAGCTGTGGTTTAACTAGGGCTGCTTGTGGTTTGGCCTCAGAGGAGATTTTGGGTTTGAGGGGGTTTAGGAGGAATTGCAGTGCAACAGTAAAACTGGCAGGTGGGGCAGGTGTCTTTGAGTGTGTGTGTTTATGTATGGTTGCTTGTGATGGATATAACCGCCATCCGCGCATCACTAATACGTACACATTTTAATGTATGCGTGTATGTATGTATGTATGTATATAATATGTATAAAAATGTGTATATATACATGTGTGTTTATACACATATATGTATCATTACGTTGAATCATTATGATACACACACACACACACACACACACAAATATATTGTGTATGTTTCTGTATAGATGTTTATGTATGTGTAGAATATGTATATTGTTTTTATATAATATTTAGAAACTCTATATTTGGGAGTGCTGGGTAATGTTTTTTATGAAAACCGTGGTGCATTTTTCAGGATGAATAGACATTCTATTTTTTGATGAATAGAAAGTTCAAAAGAACAGCATTTATTTGAAATGGTAATCTTTTGTAACATTATACATGCCTTTGATGTCAGTTTCAATTAAATTAATGCACTATTGCTAACTGAAAGTATTAGTTTCATTTAAAAAAATGCATTGGCCATGTGTCTTCAAAAAATGTATGTTATGTAAGTAAGTTATGTTATAGTAAATGTAGTAAATTATGTTATTAACTTTGACCGCTCTTCTCTCTAGATATTAGATAATCATAGTCTGCCTTGATTAAACTAGCAGTTACGTAGTAATAGGGAAGGACTATGATCTGAGCAACTCCGTAATTCTGGGTTACCGCAGCATCAGATCATTACCCCCATCGTCAGACTGTTAACCCAATAAAAGTTATGTATCACCTACTTACCTCTAATAGATAGTTACATACCAGCCAAGATATAAAAAGGATGGACTACTTTTATGGTTCTTTAATAGTACTTTTTGGTCACATTGTATGGAAAGGATATGTGAGAAGATTCTGTAAAAATTCTGTATTTGTGTTTCATGGAAAAATAACAACGTACGGGTTTGGAACAACATGAGGGTGAGTTAAAAATGACACAATTTTCATTCCTGGGAAAATTGTTCCTTTAATTATAGTTTTGGTTGTGAATGGCATCTAGAAACTAGGATATTGCTCCAGAATGCAGATTTAGAGACTATTTGTTCTAGGTGAAGTTAAAAAAATTATTGCGAGTTGGACACAACAGGCAAATGTATTTAACATTTGTATCACAACAGGCAAATGTATTTAACATTTGTATCTAAAGCACTTTTCTAAACCCATAGAAATGAATAGTAAAATCTTTTATTTATTTATTTTTTTTCTCACGACACTCTGCATTATGAGTAACTCACTTTAGCACATCTTTCCTAAACTGGATTCCTTAGGGTGAAATAAACTGTGATGTATTTCTGAAGGCAATGCCAAACAAAGTAGCTGTCATGCACAGTTTCAACAGTCATTTTAGTAGAATACTGCTATATCGGCTTTGTGAATTTGGGTAATAACCATGATCTAACAAATAAATTCACCAAGAATGTGTCAGAGACTTGGTTAAATTGGTTGGTTAAAAGATGGTTTTACATGTTTTGAGCCTACTTGGCTTTGCTATTAAGGTTCCTTAAGTTGTGCGCATCACTCATATTTGTAATTTATCAAGTGGCTACCATTAGTCTGAGTGTTGGGTGATTGACATTTGGTTTGAATATACTAAGGTTTTGGTTAAAGGACATTCCCTCAGTCATATATGGGACTGAAATGTCATACATTGTTTCTACACAAATCCTCAGTAATGCTGAATTTTGGTTATCTGTGCCAGCATCCACCAATCCCTCCCCTCCCACCCGATTCGATCGCCATGGTGATGGCACCCCACGCTCTTGTAACCAAACATGTTATTCATTCCCAGGCCCTGGCCGTGGCCCAGTTCCCGGTTTTAGGAGTGTTTTCTCATGAGATGGGAGCACAAACAGGCACATGGAGATCCAAGTGGTTTAATCACCAGGACTATTAGGCCACAGTCTTAAAATGGTCTGGCTGTGAGAACAGTCAACCCCACCCCACTAGTAGTCTCAGTTTTTCTTTAGTCTATTGCAGTAAAGTTCTTTTGTGCACCTTCGTCTTTCGACTTTCTTTAGGGTGGGGTCTGTTCTCAGACATGTCTGCTGCAAGCATCTAACCCCTGAGTTTTGTCAGGTCTGGGTGGTGGTTTGATTATATGCAGACCCTGCTTATGTAAGCTTAATTAACTTTGTTTAATTGGGTAAGAGTTTTAATCCTGTTCCAGAACATTGTTAATGTGGGGCACACATAAATTCATCACTTGTTTGAAGTTTTTTTTTTTTTGTAAAAAAACAGGCTCATTGTTATGTCTGTGCCTATAAAATGTGGTTGTTTTTGAAACTTTTGACTAACACCAGTGCATGAGCGATATCCAATTACAACTGCTATATACTTGAATGAAGAAAGTTCAAATCCTTTCAACTTAAAGCTTATTTAGGTAACACTTCCATTGACCACTAAAATATATACAGTACTGTTCAAAAGTGTGGGGTTAGTAAAAAGAAGTCTCCTATGCTTAACAATAACACAGTAACAGTGATATTGGAAAATATTGAAATGTCGAAAACCGTTGTGCTGCTTTAATATTTTTTGTGGAAACAATGACACTTTTTTTCAGGATTCTTTGAGTAATAGATAGTTTAACAGAACAGCATTTATTTGAAATAGAAATCTTGTAACGCTTTAGATTAGGGAACACACTTGCTATTAACTAAGAGTTTTCCCTCAAACTCCTAATGTGCTGCTTATTAACAGTTAGTAAGATAGTTGTTAAGTTTAGGTACGGGGTCGGGTTAAGGGATCTAGAATATGGTCATGTAGAATAAGGCATTAATATGTGCCTAATAAGTACTAATAAACAGCCAATATGCTAGTAATATGCATGCTAATAACATACTAGTTAATAGTGAGAATTGGTCCTTAAAAAAAGTGTTACCCAAATGTCTTTACTGAAAATTTGATCAATTATTTTTGTCCTTGCTGAGTAAAAGTAAAAAAAATTAAATTAAAAAAAAACTTTTTTTAACAGTAGTGTATCATGAAGCTAAGTTTATGGTGGTATCATGGATTTTTATCATTATTTACTTATCTTTTTATTTCCGTCATTATTTTTGCTAATACTTTTTTTTTTTTTTCATTTTTCCAGCCTGTAATGAGCAACAGAAACATTCTTATGGCTTTGAATGGAAAATAGGACATAAGGTCTGTCTCTCTTTTCACATTCCTCTATACTGGAGGGTCCTGTCTGCTATTATCTTTAGGTGAAGTGTGTGTGGATCGGGGCCACGGGCACATATGGATGTCCAGCCATGCTCCATTTGTCTTGACAAAAGGTAGAGCTAGTGAAAAAATCGAACTAGCTTCAATCACTTTTTTAATTTGCTTGCACTATAAACAACCTTTAGTATGACTCAACCATGTTGCCAAACAGTCGCCATGACACAGTTTTCCTGCAGGAATCGGTTAGTCTGTGTCTGGTACAAGTGCCTGAAACAAAGATCTCATTTGTGTGGTGGAAGTGAAGTTCAACAGCAAACTACCATGCCTGTGTGTCACATCTCATAAGCAAAGACTAGTGTAATTACTAGTTTTGACCTAACTGTTTTTCTTCTAGTCAAGTGCGTCTCGGAGACAGCAGCGCATGATAAAGAACAGAGAGTCTGCTTCTCTCTCCCGGAAGAAGAAAAAGGAGTATTTGTTGACGCTGGAGGCCCATCTGAAGGCAGCGCTGTCAGAGAACAAGAAGCTGAAGAATGAAAATGGCACATTGAAAAGACAAGTGGAAGGCCTGATGAGTGAGGTTGGAGTCCATCTACCTTGATCTCTTTGCAGGCTTTAATTTTAAGAAAGATCTTAGATTATTAGCAGACCCACTTAAAGTCAACATGAAATGAAAATGTACCATATCTAAATGCATGTTATTGACCATATTGTGAACGGTTATCCATTCATGTTACATTTCCTAATATTTCTAATAATTTCTAATAATGTGTTGACCTCATCATTTCAAATCAAAATGTCTTAACTTGTACTTCTGGTAAAATGACATGTTATCCTTCACTATTATTACTTTTCTCTTAAGAACTCTGTGCTGAAAGCAACTGCGCCAAAACGGAGAGCTGTGTGTCTTATGGCGGTCATGGTCTTCTTGGTCTTTAACTTGGGTCCAATGAGGTAAATAATTTATTCATTCCATTTCTGTATTTTCATTTGTCATGGATTGTAAAATGATTGCACATTAGATTGGTAAATGAATGTTCATACTAAATAATTTGTATAGGAAAGTACTTGGTAGCACAAGGAAAACTTGGTCCCATTGTAAGATTCATTTTCTAAAGCCTGACTACAACCCATATGCATCTGTTCTGAAGGAACCAGAAGGAATGTGTCATATAAAGGTTTATTTAATATCCTGACTTGTTTCCTTTTGTTTGTCCCACCCAGTCTGCTTGGAGGAGACAGAGGGTCTACATTTCCTACTGCCCCTGCGTTCAGTGGCAGACACCTGCTGGGCTTTTCCCCAGAGTCGGAGAGAAACTTGGAGTCAGACAGGCCTCAGACTGATCCCTCTAACCCTGTGAACAGGTAATGCTATTCTGTAGTTTTCTACATTTGCACAAACGCCTAGTCATGCTTAATGCTCTGTATTTGGCTGGAAACATCCAAGACCCTTACCTTTCAAATCTAGTAGAGTCCATTAATGTTTTGGAAAACACGTCAGCACAGGTGCTGAGTGACTCTGTCCAAATGCCTGTGTAAGAGAACAAGGGCCCTTGTTCTGCCCCACAGACGAGTTTACATACTATGGCTGGATAGCTAGCTAAGTTTGTTATTTTATCTACCCAGGGCAATGTTTTGAAAGGCAATACTGGTTTCTCATGTCCAAAAAATTGCTTCAACAACATAAAACTCATAAGAGTTCAGAAAACCCACATGAAAAGACTGATATTTGAATACATACTTTTTAAACCTGTAACTGTGTTTTCTCAAAGACATTCATCAAGCATCTAGTCAAATTTAAGTTACTTCACTCCCAGGGGTCATGTTTCAAACCTCCCGGGGCCTGGGCTAGACAAGATCACCAGCGTTGCTAAGATTGTGGGAATTTTTTGGGGCTAAAACAAGTGGTGTTCCACAAGGCTCAATTTTAGGTCCATTTTTATTTCCTTGCCTTGTTCTTTACTCTCTGGTGTTTCCATTACTGCTGTGTTTTTTCCACTAACATCCGTTCCTACGTTCAACTAAAGTTTTCTTTTCCAGCTTAAACTGTGTAATTGGTTCTTTGAAATGCATCCTAGGGTTGAATTGTTTGAAATGGTTAGTTTTTTAGCCAACTGGGGAACAAAGCAGGAAATGGAATTATGTAATTCAGCAGTGGAGAATGAATAAAAGCATATAGATTGAGATCCAGATGTTGGTTTTCCAAAGGGAGTTCATAAACACCTGCAAGAGTTTTAAAATCTCTTGTGAAATCTCTTGCTCCCGTGTCCCAGTCTGAGTTTGGATCTGTGCAGAGACTGTGATTCTAATAGCCCAGGATTTGTCCTATGTAAAGTATTTTTATTGTTGAGCATTGAATATATTAAGAACAGTTTAGTCTGGTGTTTTAATTTATTGCCGCCTTAAGCCCACAAAGTAATCCAGACTTCCCTTCTTCTGTGGGATGAGCTTCTCTATGTCAACAAAGATTGTGAGACATAGATCCAGCTTCCCAGAGCTTCAGTGTCACTCATCCCCAGCCAGAAGTGCTTGATGTCATTTCAGAGGCCACATGTTTCCTATTGCATTGAACTGTAAATGACTACAGTACATCATGGAGATTTAGTATTTTGTCGTCCATGATGTCTTGGCTTTATTTTAAGCACAGGATCACTGTACCTGCGCTAGGCATGAACTTGGCACAAGTTGTTGGCATTGTTGATTTTAAAGATCTTGTCTTTTCCCGTAGACAAGATAAGAAGGAACTATCTTGACTTGCACATGGTATTCTTAAGCCAACAGTGTACCAAGAGATGATTAAATCAAGAGCCTTATAAAATTCCTTGTGTTGTCATGGAATTAAAACGTCCTTATAAAGATTCTGAACCCCCATTTTCCATTATTTCCTTTGCTTCTTACACTTTACTGTCTTTAATGTTGTTTTTATTCTCTCTCTTCCTCATAGGTTAGAGGATGTGGTATCAGAGCAGAAGGCACTGATGGTGGTGAAGGATCCTCTGTATTTCAGAACTCCACCACCCTGCCAGCCACCTGTCAACAGGACCAAGTGCATGAAGTCAGTACTGAGCATGTTTTACATCAGTTGATATTCAAATGCTGTTTTAATATATATTTAACAGTGTTAGTACTATCTGGCAGTTCTGTGACAAGCCAGTTCTTCTCAGATTTAGATTACAGAACATCTGGTCCACATTTGCTATATCTGATTACCCAGTCTGATCTGATCTGATCTGAACCGAACCGAAAATGAATTTTTATTACAATAGCCCTGAACAACAACTCTGGTGCATAAACATCTGGGCTCTGTTGTGATGACAGTAAAAGATAATTGTAGCAGTCTTTGAATCATCCAATATCCGTTAGATCGGCTTTTTGTAAAACAGTTCCGCTCCTTGATTATGATTGGCCGAGTCATGTTTTAAGCTGTTGTAAAATACTCTATAAACACGCACCTGAGACCGCATTAACCAGTATCATGCACAAATGATTTGAACTATTTTGTTGTTAAAATTTATACATTTTTTTTGCTTTGTGATTATATGTAGTAACCATAGAACAGCTAAGGAAGTGTAAACCACAGCTTCTTTGAGCTTATTGCTTTAATAGGCACCAAACAGTATTTTTTTATTCTTCTCTGTTCTCTCTGTTCATTTATTATGTAGTTTGGTTGCAATTTCAAATCCAGTGTCCAGCCATTAATTAAAAATTCATAAGACCACAAAGATACATTCTTGTTGACCATACCTTTTTTTATACTAAACTACACCGTTTTGGATGACATAATTCTTCTTATTACCACATGACATCTTATGAAATCTGAAATTATGTTTCTGCTCTTCATAACTATAGGATAGCACATGAGCTGAGGGGCTGGGTACATCGTCACGAGGTTGAGCGGACCAAAACTCGCCGCATGAGCAACACTCAGCACAGAGGCAGAACCATCCTGGTATGACCTAACAACTAAATTCTCCTCATTTAAAGCTAAATTGTTTATCATTCTTTATTTTTTTGTTTTCTTTCTGATATTGTGGATAATCCATCCTAAAAACAAGAGAAACCAAAGGGTCTTGACATTGTCCAGTGCAGTGACTGAAGAGCCTTGTTTCTTTCGCTTTCAACTTCAGCATGACATCTGTTTCGGTGTGGCTCAAGTGCAGACACTGGGTTGCATACCTCCAACGCAGATACAGGCAGCTGAGAACCACCAGGACATAACCCTGTTTATTTTCTTTAAATAGATCTTCAAAATGTTTACATTAGGGATGAGACCCCTCTCTTTGCATCCTCTCCTTTCACACTGCTCATCTCTTTCACTCCTTTTTAACCCACTCTAAGTGTAATCCAGTAGTCTTGGGAAAGTAAACAGCCCCCTGCCCCAGTTTGCTGAGTCAATCTGTCTTTTCTCTGACATTTTTTTTTTTTACAGTCATTTCCAAACTGAGTCTAATTCTCTTCAAAACCACTGTCAGTAGCTTTACTTGATTTGAATGTTTGTATAAACCCTCCCGGTTCTGTTTAAGCTTTAAAAGCCCTATATAGAATTCAGCAGTCAACAGTTTCCACAATTCATGCAATAAATTAATGTTAATAATATTACACTACCTTTCAAAAATCTGAGGTCAGTAAATGTAAAAAATGTTTTTGAAGTCTGTTATGCTCACCAAGTCTGCATTTAGAAATACAGTAAAAACAATAATAATACAATTTAAAACAACTTTTTTTACATGTATTTCTGTAATGGCAAAGCTGAATTTTCAGCAGCTCTTTCTCTAGTCTTCAGTGTCACATGATGTTTCAGAAATCATTGTGATATGATTTGGTGCTCAAGAAACATTAATTATTATTATTATTATTATCAGTGATGAAAACAAATGTGCTGCTTATAATTTTTGTGGAAACCATGATACATTTTTTTCAGGATTTTTGGATTAATAGAAAGTTCAAAATCTTTATTATATTATATTATATAACACTGTAATGACATTATAACGGTATTTACTGTCCCTTTTGTTCAAAGTAATGTGGTCATGCTAAATATATGTATTAATTTTGACCCCAGACTTTTGACTGGTAGTGTATACCATTAAAAATTGTCTCCGTCTGACTATTCAATACACAGAGGGTGCATAAATGTATTAACACTGGAATCACAATGGTGGGAGAAGATGAATGGGTTCAGTTTATTTGCCGTGAGCCTTGTGCACAGAAGACAGAATGTGCTGAATGTCATGACAACAGTACAATGTAGTTATCTACTTCTGTTTGTCCAGTTGTCCAGGTTCAGTCAAAGTGATAGCTTACACTCATATGAAATGAGTCAAAGGAGACAAGGTGCTGTAAAAGATGTCAAAGAGTCACAAAGAATTGTCTTGAAATGTGTACACAAATGTATTTTATTTCCTAGCCATACAACATATTGACTGCTGAAGTTTTATAAGTTATACCAACAGCCACAAATCTGAGACAATATAAGAGCAGAGTTTAGCCGCATGGGTGAGATTGGAGTAGCTTAGTGGTTTAAGATCATTGGGCTGGAAACCGAGGTTCAAACCCTAAAAGGGGTGATTCGTAATCTATCACCATTGTGCACTTAAGCAAGATGCTTAACCGCACTGTTACTCCAGAGAGCCTTAAATTATCATGACTGCTTTCTGTGGTATAACATCGCATAAATGTTTAAGAAATTTCACCAGCTTGGGTTGCAGATTCTCCTCTCAAAACAATATTAATAATTTTACTAAACTAGTTCCAGAAACCTTTCTTTTAGCCCCATTCTGGCTTAATGTGAAGCTGTACGATTTATGCAAGCAGAATTAATCAGGATGTACTTGTTTGCGTTAGTTCCTTATCATTTGTTTTTATCAGATAACTAGTAGTTAAAGTAGTTGGATAGACAGCTTGTTATGATTTAGAGAAACATAATGTGCAGCAAGTTGATTGTTTGAAAGGCTGCTCTGTGTTTGAAGTGTCTACCTTATGTTGGGAAACTGCCTTGACAGACACAAGCATACACACATATCCACTGATAGGTTCCCATCGCGCAATCTGGAATCCTTCCATGCATTTCCACCACATTAAAGACCTTCTGGTCTTTAGTCAAAATCTGGTCAAAATCTCCGGCCCAGAAGACCTGGTGGTTATAAACAGGAAATTCTACCTCCAGAGAAATAATGTCCTCACCATAAACAACAAAAACAACTCCAAGAAAACCAAACTAGATTGCTTCCACTATTGTACTCCGGTACCGCCACATTGTTTGCTTTCCGTCACCAGGATTGAGCCACTATGTAAATACTGTCGTCATGCAGGGTGCTGAGATGTTGGATGATTGAGGATGTATGAGTGTGTTGACAGATGGCTGTTTCCCAGATTCTGTACACTGTCCACACAGAGCACAGAACTAAACAAATTCTGAGAGAGATGCTGTTTATCAGCATAACACACAATGACAGGAGCTCAAGTGCAGAGATATAAAAGCAAAAATGAGCTCATGCACATTTCCATGTGTCTTACTGTGCGTGCTTTATCAAATAGGTAAAAGGAAGTGACATTTTTATTTTCTTTGTTGAACAGAAAGCAGCAGATAAACGGGCTGAGGTACCACAGATCATGACACAGATCCAGTACACGGATTCCTCTGAAAAGTAAGTTGTGTGAAGAATTTCCTGCAACATCATCCGGGCCAAACTGTATTATTTAGTCCCTGAGAGTCAGTCATTTGTTCTTGAGTCTGCAGTGTTGTATTAGTGCGGTATAGTCTTTTTCATTGGGTAGTTGCTCATGTGTGAAAATATTTCTGTCCTTTATTTATAATGTAAACTTTGTTGTAAATAAATGTTGTAATGTTCACTAACGTGCATTCTGAGAAATGGTCTGAGGACAATTTGAATTTATGTATTACAAGACAACACAGTGAAGTTTGAAGCCCCATACATGATCTGCCAAAGTATGTGATCGATTTGGCTGAAATCTGAAGAGTGGAGCTACAGAATTCTGTCCCAACTTTCTTTTTTCTTCTTTTAATGTCATTTTTCAAAGCTGTTGTCAAGTCCGGTGGTAATGCTTGAGGGGTATTTCAAACTATGCCACACACAATTAGATTTCTCATCTTTTTGTGCATCAGTATCAGTACATGCTATTCCCAGAAATTGTTTTTTTTTTTTAATTCATAATCTTTGTAATGCCCCTGAAATAACTTTTCTAACAGTGTAATGTTCCGGTTCGTGTTAACCAATATCCAAATTGCTATTGAAGCATTGTTTCAGGCTATTGGTGTACATCTTGTCGTCTTTAATAACATATTTTGCCAGTAGTTAACACAATTACAAGATTTTCTCGAGGGTGAAATTGATAGCAGTCAGATAGCCACCCTGCAAGTGGATGCTGGTGTGTCTTAAGAGGAGAGACCTCCACAAAAGACTGCAAACTGCAGTTTGAAACGCCCACTTTTCACAGTCCTATCAATTCCAGATGTATAAAATCAAGTCACTTGGAAATGTCACATTACAGTACAATGAATTATGAATGCAATTTCTGTTGACTTAAAATCTATCCTGGGTTATTGCACCAAAAAAAAAAAAAAATACACAGTTTTTACACCTTACAGACATATCCTCCTACATGTCTTTTTGTTTGTTTTCGTTTGTTTTATCTTTTTATTACAAATTTTTTGGGTGGGCCACTTGCTGTCCCTCAGGGTAAATCATATTTCTGGCTGCTGTAGTTTGGCTGACCTCAGCAGTGCATTGGGCCAGAAATCAACATGGCTGTCATTCCATTGCTTCACACTGACAACAGGGGAAAGGCCACATTCACACAGGAAAGAAAGGGTTTTATCAAGAGATTCGTGAAAATTGTAATTAGACTTTTCGCTTGCTCTGGGTTACATGGTATTTTATTACAACAGGTATGCAAAGTAAATTCGATACAGCTTTTTGAAATGAACTTAAGCGGCATGTATAAAATTCCTTATTCAGTGCAAGTTTTTACCTGCAGCAATAACATTAGAACAAGCACAGGCAGTTGTTATCAAAATGTAAATCAGAGTTTGAAGTGTTTGTATCCTGTATTCAGGACTCCCAGCAGCGAGCTGCAGGTGTATTACGCCCCTCACCGCACCTACAATGACTTCTTTGATGAACTCAACAGAAGAGGGGACACATTCTACGTGATCTCTTTCCGCCGGGTAAGTTGACCTCCCTATCTCTCTGTTCATCTGTCTTATCTGCTTTCTATCGGGCTGTGGCCACACATGGATGTGGTTAATTGGTTTTAGAACCTACACAGCATCATAAAGGGACACTTGAGACTCTTCCACCTTAATGGCATCTTCTAGCATGTGTTAGATCTTGGGAGGTCTCTATAAACGTCTGTTTTTTCAGTTTGTAAACGATCGTTCTTGTTTGAAATAAAGCACACTGTGTGGTTCTTGTAATGCCACCTCACTAGTATTTGGCATGTCTCTGTGATATTCAAATGAATATATGCAAGCTCATAAGCTGATCTGTGGAGATTTTTTCACCTGTATAAAGTATAATACAAAAATAATTGTATTATAAAATGTATTACACCAATTACGTTGTCCACTAGGTTTGGGGGCAATAATAAATTAATACTTTTATTTGACAAAGATGCATGAAATTGATCTAAAGAGACAGAAAGACGTATAATGTTGCAAAATAAATGCTGTTCTTTTGAACTTTATTTTCATCAAATCTTAAATGCATCATGGTTTCCACAAAAATATTAAGCAGCACAGTTGTTTTCTACATTGATAATAAGAATTTTTTTTGTGAGATTCATGGCAGAGAATTATCAAAATCTATTCAAGAGATTTGTTTGGATCAACTAAATAAGACTTTTTGTTTGTTATTATTCATGGGCACGTGCGTTTTTTTTTTTTTTTTTGCTGTAACCACTTTGCTGGTAACATTATTTATTATTAGTGTTTTCAATGTAAGATTCACCAACCCCTAAACATCACATACAAAAAGTGAGCTGTGATTTGGCTATGTTAGTGCACATTTTTAGTTAGTTTTCTTTAAAACGCTTTATTTTAGTCACTTTTTTTCCTGCTAGTTTTCATCTTTGTAATAGGCAAAAAAAAGACTAAGAGTTATTCAGATGACTCAGGCCTAATTTTTCGTGCACATGTACATGATCTCAAGCTGTGTCATTCATTTGGAGTCGGACTGTATTTGTAGTAATCTGGTCTCTTTTTTTTTTCTGTTTGTCTAATTGCACATCATCTTTCATCAGTTCCTTTCTTATTCTTTGTATGTTTCATGTTTATTTCCATACTCTCAGTACCTGCTTTTGATTATTCACTTGGAAGATGCGAATAATGTTGGCCGACATATTTGAAAAATAATCTTAAATCTCTTTTGTTACAAAGGGAACGGCGGACGGGCGTATCCGCATTCAGACGAACCACAGTGGCCCAAAGCAAAAAAGCTAAATTAGCGTAATGAAATATTTCACCGGTTTGCATGGGATGTGACAGTAAATGGTTATCACTCTCTCTTTTCATCCTGATGATTTTTTGTAATGGCAAACAGGTCTCCACTTCTCTTTTTTTTTTTTTTTTTGTGAAACTAAAACAAAGAAATGACTCATGTCAATGACTCATAATCAGAAAATAAAGATGTTTTTGTAGGACTGTTTTGCCAACTGCTTTCCCCCCCCATTTTTTTCCCCAACTAAACTTGATTTAAAGACTCAAAAATCAAAGTTGTTGCATGTGTTTCTGAGATTTTGCTTGTCCTATTTTGTTTTTCTTTTCTCCCCTTCATGTGCAGTGAGCCCTGCATCTTTCTCTGGACTGTGTTTGCAACCTAATAGTGTTTATTTCATTGTTCCATTGAATCAAGCTCTCTGATCTCCCAGAGTTGCTGCAAACTTTCAAACTGCGCTAGGGATGTTTCCATCGTCATCCTCATGTAAGTCGATCGTAATATCCTCTCCTTGCAGCTCACTTTGAGCCTGTCACACCTTAGAGTTGGCAGAAATTCATATCTGTCTGATGAGATTGGTATTCATCATATCATTCTCCACAGTCACTTACCCTTTCACTCTTTATGTCACTCTCTTTTTCCACTTTTCCTCTCACCGGCACTAGAATTGCACCCACAGGTTTCAGAGATGTTCAAGGTCACCTGCTGGACACAAAGAAAGAACTTGGCCACTGCTCTTACTAAAAGACCTCATTGTCATAATCTAGTATAGGGAACTAGATTAGATTTTGTCTTCGTTTACTTACCACAGGGTTTCTGTGGGTCTAAAAAAAGGTTTTAAGAAATCTTAATTCAGCCTTCCACAAATGAAGGCCTTAAAAAGGTCTTAAATCAGAGCAGAGGTCTTAACGTCATAGTAATGCCAAAAAAGTTGCATAAAAACTGCAAAAAGTATTATGTTCCCTAGTATTAATTCATTATGTAACTGAATTAAGTTTTTACCCCATTCTTAGTCCTATCTGTTCTTGTTTTAATCTAAATTAATTTAGATCAATTCTCAGACATTTTTCTTCTCAGGACAATTTTTGTGTGATTAATCATGATTAATCAAATCTTAGATGAGTTGAGCCAGATGTTGTTTAATTGGTTTAGTCATATTCAGACACTGCCGTTTTTTTATGTTTGGTTAAGTTTCTTAGGTTTATTCAGTCTTTTGGGAAGTCAGACTTTCACAACATTGACTCAGCTCCTCCAGAAACCTCCTCAGATGTTGACCTTCCTTTAAGAACCTAAAAAAGTTCAAAGCCATGTTGCAATTCTAGCCATCTAAAATTTAAATGCATTAACTTCCAATGTATGACCTATTGTTTAGTAGTAGATGGGTTTAAAAAATTATTTTTTTTAATTATTAGCTCAACCAAAAATGAAAATTGTCACCTACCTTTTTGATGTACAAAAGAAAAAATAATGAATTCAAATAACAAGGGCTAGTAAATAAAACATTTTTTAAACATTATATCTTTTAAATAAAGAAAAGTGGTTGTTAATTGTTTCAGTTAGAAATGAGAACATCAAAACATCAATGAGGAAATTCATTTAATATTTTTTTCTTAATTTTTTATTTCAAAATGTGTTTATTTTGATTAATCGCACACCAAGGTTATTATAGTTTTGAATTTTTAAATTAGTTTTATTTTAATATTGTTTTCAAATTTGCTATACAATTCAGTTTAGTTTTTATTATACTCGCACACTTATGAAATGTAAAAAAAAGTCATAAAAAAATCATAAAGTGATGTCATTCTGTTCTTGATGTAGTTCACAACTCAAATAAGCAACTCTTCAGACAGTTGTACTGGAAAACAAGACAAAATGCTAAAGAACAACATCACTTTTTTGTAGTGTTATCAGAAGGTACAGTAAAAATTATTTATTCATTCATTCTACTGGTCGGGAGCAGGTATTAAACCTTAACCTAAAAAGTAATTTAGATCTGTGGGAAGTAACAAAGTTTTGCTAATACAACTCATTGTGTGCTCCCTTGACATTTACATTTAAAGAATATGTTAATGTATTGTTGCCTTAAATTTATTCCTTTAGGTTTTTTTTTCTTGGTCTCGAAAGGGTCTCAAAAATCTTAAATTTGCCTTTATAAAACCTGTTGAACCTGAAAACTGTTAAAAAAGCAATTTTAATGAATGGGGAGATCAAGAATTGGAATCAATTAAAGAATGGAAATAATAAGGATTTGGAATGACATGAAGACAAATAATTAATTACAGAATCTTTCACTTTTGGGTCAACTATTTGAGTCCCATTGTGAATTCAACTTCCGGCACATCTTTAGTACAGTGACAACAGATGGTATTAAGCACAAACACATTTACTGAAGTCTACATGACAAAAGACGTCACAAATCAGTCACCCGTTTCCCATCCATTGCACAGACATGAGTGTTATTATAATCTCCAGCTCATGGGCTTTCCTTTCCATATGGTTTCTGTCTTCAACGGGTGTGACTGGAGATGGAGAATGTCTCCAATTGGTACAACTGAGTTGGACTAACATAGACAAAATTCTGACCTGATTATAGAAGTGTTAAATGACTCTCTAGGTCGTCAAATGTCAGTTTGCTTGGACTGAAAGAAACTGGCTTCTTTCGTCAGCAAATGTTAATTTTAAATGCATCAGAACATGAAAATGAAATGTGGGAACATGAAAAAAATATATAATGGTTTTTAAGCAAAAATATAAAATGGGACAACTGCTTTGTCCATTAATATTAAGAAAGGTTCTTGAGCACCAAATCAGAATATTAGAATGATTTCTGAAAAATCATGCAACATTGAAGACTAGAGTAATGGCTTTTTTTTTTTTTTTTATTTGACTTTTTTTAGCAACCAAATTGATGCTTCAGACTTCTTAAACAGTGACCAGAGCAATTTAACAATGTCCTCAGCAATGTAATAAACTCTCCTCGTGCATGTGTTTTTGTGACTGGCTGATGGCTGTTCCTCTTTTGCTTACAGGATCACCTCCTTCTTCCCGCCACCAACCACAACAAAGGCAGCCGCCCTAAGATGTCTGTGGTCCTGCCAGCTATGAATTACAATGGTAAGAGAAAAGAATTGTGAATAATCGTATTTCCTAATGAACTGTCATCTAATGCTAATAATAATCATTATTCCTTAAATTTATATTAAATCTAGGCCTATATTGTGTTGTTTTTGGCCTTGTATTAATCCAGATCCTTTGCTGTAAGTGGCATTATTGCATATTCTGTTTATGTTTTATGAAATTAGAATTGAATCAAAAAAGAGACACATCTGTACATGACTAGTACATGCAGTGTGTCTAGGCAATTATTAACTGTTTTTTTTAATAAACTGTATCACTGTTTTTAGCATGTCACACAATGAGCACTGCTTTTTAAGTTGCCTTGTCAAGTTAACAGTAGTTAAACTTGGAAAAAAAAACATGTCTTTTGACTGTCAACATAGATCTCGGTTTACATTTCAACACTCATCCTACACTCAAAACCACCATAGCCCAGACTTGCCCTGCTCTTAGACCATTGCAGTGTATGACTGTGAGCTAATGAGATCACAGTCAGATCCTTGTCCTTAAAACCAGAATGGTGTCTCCACTCACAGCAGGCCTGCAGCCTCTGATTACAAAACTGCTGGGTAAGAATGTTCCACTCAGAGGCTTGACAGGGGACCAGTACAAAAGAGCTCCCAGAGTTAATGAGCCCTGCAGGAGATCGGATTGAGTTCTAGCATCTGATAGATTTATGTAGTTTGTGCATTAATTTATTCATTATGTCATAATATCTTTAATTCATTTGTATTTATATAATATTAAATTATAGAAAGTATATTAATATGAAATAATAAATATGATGGATGTGATATTGTATATTGTGTGTGTATATATGAGCAATTTCACACGAGTAGCCGTGCGATATGGCTATATATTGGCATGGCTGTGATAGAAATTATCTTTATTAACAAACTGCATATTTGAACTGTAAACAAGTACATTCTTTCCTAAGAAAAACTCTTAAAACTGCATTCCTTGACACACAAAAACAGTATTATTTATAAAAGCATAGTGGATTTGGGCGTCCACCATGACACTCGCTGTTAGAAATACCGCAAGCGGAGTGATACAAACAGTGAAACGTGAAACGGTTGGAGTTCTGTTATCACTAAAATATCACACTCCTCTCAGGCAATCAGATTCGAGGGTCAGAATATATATAATTTTTATATATGTAATTTGATTAAGACAAAGGATTCTCATATGCTCCTATGAAAGTCAGAGAGAGAACTGTTTTGAAATTTTATGGGTGTCTAATCATTTCTGTAAACGTTCCATTCCTTTTATTACATTTCTTTCCTTTAATTTCTTGGATGTGGTCAAAGTATCAGATAAGATTACTCCATACTGAACTCAGGAAGGGAAATGTGATGTACTGACCTTGCAGTGTAAACAGGCTTTTGGGAAATATTTTTTTGAAAGAGAATATTGAGAGAAGTATAATTAATATAGTTATTCCTACTATGATTTTGGTAGTGCCAAATGCCCCTAACTTTTACTAGTTATGTCAGTTGCTTATTTGAGTCTCTATTCTAGTGTATGCAATCATGATACTAATCGCAGACACAAGGTCAGATTGCAAACCTGTTTTAATACAGTTTGAAATCTTTCCAACCAGTCACCAGGTGTGCGAACTGTTCCGGTTATAGAGCCACAGCCGATATAACTCAGAGAAAGAGAAGTATTGGGAAGCAGGGGTAAAAAAAATTCTCTCCAAAAATGAGGGCATGTGCTTCATGTTATTTAATGACAAGAATAAACATTCCAGTTGCTATGTGCGTGAGCTTGTGTGAGAATGCGATGTCTGGGAAGAGCTTGATCTTGTAATTGACTCACATAGTCTGCGATTAGTTGTGCAGTTTGCACACCACCTCGACGGAAAACAAGAAACCTGACATATTTTAAAGATCGTAGACTTAAATTGTTTATGTAACCCAAATCTAAGTATTCCCTCTTGAGAGGACGGCCGAGTATGGTGTACTCTGCATCAGTTTTTTTCCGGCTCCATCCTGTGTTGATTTAAAAATGAATGTTGAAAGTTGGGTTTCACATGGTTTTATTAAGAGAACAACTTTTGGACAACAGGAGTCTAGTTTTTGAAATTGCCCCCAGCTGATTCTGTTCCAGTCTACACGTTCAAACTTGTGTGTTGGGGTCGGGTGTTTTCCACCGCATGTGATGCAGGGATGGAGGAATAACCTTTCTGTTCAATTCATCAATGTTTTCAAGGTGGTTGATTTCTATCTTGAAAACAACTTGAATAACAAAACAATATATTTTTTTCTCCATCAATTTCATGTTTGGTTTGGAAACTATTGTTGCAGTGCCTGGCAGTGTCAGTACATATATTATCTGTTCTCTTTCGCTGTCTTCCCTGTGGGAGTTCTGAGTCAGCATTATAATCGTTTGTGAATGTTGGAGATGATGATGATCATCATATTCCCTTTTCTTTGTTTTTTTGTGCACTGCACACATTTCGAAGTCATATCATGAACACTTTTACTCTTCAGTCACAGGCATTGCTTTATAGGCAAAAGCCTAGTGAAAAAAACAAATTAAGAAAAGAAAGGTTTAGCCAAAAAGTACAATTTTGTCTGTCTCACCCCAAATGGGCACAAAAAGAGAATTTTTGTCTAGTTCATAGTGACATGCAACAACATACAACTTGTGCATTTTATTCCAAGTCTTTTGAAGTCATACTATAGGTTTAACTTTGCCGAAATGTCTGAAAAGATATTTATTTACTCCTAATCTTTCTCTCCAGTGAGCCGTTAACTCAAGAACCACTGATCAATGAGTCTTGAGAGCCAAATCAGTGAACGATTCGTTGTTTTAAGATGGTTCTTTTTATTAATGACCTGCTTCATCTGGCTCATGAATTGGACGGAATAATTCATATCGAATCAGAGTTCAATTCATTTCTCGATTTATATTTGGTTTAATTTTTTTTGTGTTTTGGGCGAAGTATTCATCTTAAACTGTCAGTAATGGTGGAAAGTGATTTTGGCTGGAATCTCAAAGCTTCGCAACCACAACCTCATCAGGAATTTACCCTTGAGTCCACATGTTGCCTTAATCAGTATTTTAAATGGTGTTTGGAAAGTCAGGCACAGTACCAGACATATCCAATGGGAATTCACCTAACGAAAAGCCTTCTGTGAGAATGGCAAATGACATTTCTGACATATTGGAAACTTAGTGTATATATATATAGGATGGAAAAGATTGTATTTTAATATGTGATGACGTGTACAGCTCAGCAGTCCAGTGTCATTTTAGTGCTTGCAGTGAAATACAGTGAGATGATTGCTGTAACCCATCATCTATGATGATTTCTGCAGCACTGCTGAGGTTTTCTTTAAGCACCTGTGAAAATACACATTTTGTGAGATATTGAAACTTTATCCCATACCATTGACTGTTCAGTGGTGCATTAGAGATAGATTGGGAAGATTTTGGTTTCAGGAACATGTCAGAAAGACTCTGACTGTAAATCACCGGTTTTGAGATCATCATTGTGGGTGTGGGGCTGAAGCGCTCGTCAGGAATGATTGACTGTAGGATGCATAAATGTATTCACCAGTAAGGGCTGGAAAAGTGCTTTACATTGACCTACCATGATGCTCTCCAGCCTATAAAGTTTTTATCAGTGCTGGAGCGAATCGCACAAGTCTGCTGTAAAAGTTACTTTCCTGCCGTCCATATGCTGTGCATGTATGTGAAGTATAGATAGCTGTCCTTATAGAAGATAGACCATAGAACATCTGTAGTGAGTGTAAACCATCATAATTTTAATGGTTCCTTACAAAATACTCATAGCTTGTGTTTGACGAGCGATTTTATGAGTCTGTCAGAACATGGGAAATGAATTCACGGCCTGACCTTCACTTCCAGAGATAAAGGATGATGGGGCATCCCACTGTGTCAGTAAAACCAAAGCTAGATCTGTATTGTTCACGTATTTAAGTACCAGTAGATTTTGGTGAGTAAATGGGTTACTGCCTGTCAGCACTTGTATGATACGGCAATGTTTTTAAAATGTTCCTTTTAATGGATTTTTTTACCATTCTATACTTCTATACTTTCTCTTCTGCGTTGTCTTGTTACTTTTTTAATCAAAATATTGACGTTTTTATCTGTTTGAGGTTTCTAAATTATACAGCAAATGTTGTTGCTTTTAAAAGTTTTATGATCCCCACATTCATGGAAAACCTGGAAATAGCCAGGAAAAAATTTAGTTTAAAATTGTGATCTCCAGGCCTGGAAAAATCATAGAAATTAGTCAAATGTTCAAACATTTGCGGTTGGTAAGATATATATATATATATATATATATATATATGCATCTCAATAAATTAGAATGTTTAAAAACTGCATTTTGTATTTACTTGCATTATCTTTGCGTAATATTAAATTGGTTTGATGATCTGAATCTTTTAAGTGTGACAAATATGCAAAAAATTAAAAAAACAGGAAGGGGGCAAAAACCTTTTCACGGCACTGTATATATGTTCACAAAGGTTGTATTTATTTAATCAAAAATGCAGTCAACCAGTCATATTGTTAAATATGATTAATATTTAAAATAACTGTCTTTTAATATATTTTAAAATGTGATTAATTCCTGCTATGGCAAAGATGAATTTTCAGCAGCCTTTACTCCAGTCTTCAGTGTCACATGATCCTTCAGAAATCATTCTAATATGCTGATTTGATACTTAAGTAATATTTCTTATAATTATCAATGTTGAAAACAGTTGCTGCTTAATATTTTTGCGGGAACTGTTATAATTTGTTTCTTGATTCTTTGATGAATAGAAAGTTCCAAAGTACAGGATTTATTTGAAATAGAACTCTTTCAAAATTTCTTAACATTATAAATTACTTTACTGCCAAGTTTGATCAGTTTAATGCAGTCTTGCTGAATAAAAGTATTAAATTAAAAAACTTAGTGACCTCAAACTTTTGAACGGTAGTGTACCTTTCCTTAAAGGGATAGTTCACCCAAAAATGAAAATTTGATGTTTATCTGCTTACCCCCAGGGCATCCAAGATGTAGGTGACTTTGTTTCTTCAGTAGAACACAAACGAAGATTTTTAACTCAAACCATTGCAGTCTGTCAGTCTTATAATGGCAGTGAATGGGAATCACGGCTTTGAGAGTAAAAAAAAAACACACAAACAAAACCAAATTAAACCCTGCGGCTCGTGACGATACATTGATGTGTAAAGACACAAAACGATCGGTCTGTGCAAGAAACTGAACAGTATTTATATCGTTTTTTACCTCTGATGCACTGCAATGTCTGAACTGTCCTGAGCGCGTCCTCGACAGCCGGCGCGTAACGCGTCTTCTTCTTGCTTTACAGCGAGACTTATAAGTGCATTACCGCCACCTATCTCTCAAATGGACCATTGACACTCTATCTACAATCTCAATTAGGAGTGTCAATGGTCCATTTGAGAGATAGGTGGCGGTAATGCACTTAATAATCTGCGATCCGCCGTAAAGCAAGAAGAAGAAGACGCGTTACGCGCCGGCTGTCGAAGATGCGCTCAGGACAGTTCAGACATTGCATTGCATTGACTGATCATTTCGTGTCTTTACACATCAATGTATCGTCACGAGCCGCAGGGTATAAAAAGCCGTGATTCCCATCCACTTACATTATAAGACTGACAGACTGCAACGGTTTGAGTTAAAAATCTTCGTTTGTGTTCTACTGAAGAAACAAAGTCACCTACATCTTGGATGCCCTGGGGGTAAGCAGATAAACATCCAAGTTTCATTTTTGGGTGAACTATCCCTTTAACCCGGTTTTCTTTCATGTGGGAGTCATCATCTGTTGTGTTTACTGCTATGTGAAGATAAAGGCCAGTGTGTGACTGACCCTGGTGTGAAAGGAGCCCCTAAAATGCCTCTTAACCTCCACAGGCCACCCGGCATATCACCTGCATTTCTTTAACCATTACTTTCACAGAGCTGAGCACCGAGTGCTGTTTTATATGATTATATTTTCTGTGCTAATACAATGACTTTTCTGTCTCACTGCAGAGAGCATCATTAAAGACAAAGAGTTTGAGGTGATGATGCAGATCGACTGTGAGGTCATGGACACCAGGATACTCCACATCAAGTCGTCTACTATTCCACCCATCTTGCGGGCCAATCAGACAGACACAGACTCTTTCTATCACGCGGCCCCCAACAACCAGCCTGCGGCCCCCGTCGGTGTCCTCATGGGTTCTTCTTAGTCTCAGCTATCTATCTTATCAATCTTGTTTTGTTGTGAATTACCTGTTTTTTCACCATCATCTATTTTGTTACATAATAAGCATTTTGTGTTCATTTTTGTGCCTCTTTTTATTCGAGTGGCCAACCAGGATCTTGGTAATCAACTAACAAATCACCAAGATATTCAACATTAGTCGAGAATTCCTCTTGAAGGCACCTCTTCCAAATGCATCTAGTAAGCCATTCAATACTGATGAGCCATTCAATACATATTGCAGTCTATTGACTTCAACTACTGGCATTTACATAAATGTAATATGTATTGAATGGCTACACTTTATGCAAAGTGACTTCAAGCATGTTCTACCAGCTGAACTACGGGAGCATTCATTATCCAAATCTCCCAAACCAAAGTGCGATCTGGCTCGATTATTGAACACTTTTCTGCTGTATGTGGTAGCTGTCAGGGAGTTGTTTTTGTTTTTTTGTGTGTACTGTGCTTGTTTTGTTTATAAAATTAATTCAAATGAATATTTATGAAGGTTTAATATTTGTACCAAACTTGTTTGGTACACATTTAATGGTCATATTCAGCAACATATTCTTCAGCACCACTATCCTCAAACAAACTGCATTGCCAGTGAGTTTTGTTTTGCTTTGCTTTTTATTTTTGTGTGACATTGCTATTGAATAGAAAAGCAGGAAGATGGATTATTTAAACTTTTGAGTCAGTGTAATTGACTTTCCATTTGATGGATCTGATTCAGGACGGTGCTGTAAATTTATATCCAAAAATATATATTTTAAAGTATTTAGATAATACTTCTGCTTTATACTTGGTCTTTGAAGGGTAATCATTTTAGACTAATTCTAATTGGAATAGCAGTTTGGGGTTGGGGGTCTTATGCAACATCTGTCAGTTCATTTTAATGTATTTCATGCCTTCATGTTTTTCTTAGTGGCTTAATTGCACTTTAAATGAGGTGTGCTTGACATAAATACAGTTGCTAACAAATACTGGCTGTTAATTTGAAGTTGTAGAAGAGACACTGATTATTAATGTTAATTTGTACCTCATCTGTCCTTGTTCACTGTGTATTTGTCTCTCTTATTCTAACGTATTTAGACGTGCACTTGTTTCTTGTCCTGTTTAGGATGCTGTAGTCGGTTACCATAATAGCTTTCCAATCTGTCGTCACTTTTCACAATTCACAAATTTGAATTTCACAGTTTATAAACTCAACTCAGGTGAAGCTTTGTTCTCAAAATGTGGATGATATATTAGTATTTGGTGAGAAAATTTCACATTTTGTCCTTAGCATTGCAGTAGAAATGTTACATTTATTTTTCAGCAAATCCCATTTTCCTCTCTGGCAGCATTTTTATTTTCAATATATTTAATTTCTTAATTTTTGGAAAGATTTTTTGTTTGTTCACACAGTGATTGCGATGAAAGCTATTTTGTAACAATGCAAAGAAATAAACACTGGACTCAAGTTTGTGGGTGATTTGTGTGCATCTTTTGTTTTTAGGATGCAGACAGAGTCTTATGTCAGTCTGAATTTGCTCTCTGAAATTGAAGGTTTGTGTAAATGTGGGGGCTGAGGCGCTATAAAGTGCTGATTATAGGTAATTTCAAAGACTGGGGTAAACAGTGTTTTAGGGATAAAATATGGTAGATGTGTTTTGTTTCTCCAGATTTAACTCAGTGGATCAGGGGGTTTATAGTGTAGCACTTTGCTCTCATCTACAGTAAGTGACCAATAAGAATATCTGTGCTAAAAACACACTTTCACTTGACATCTTTACTATGAAAGGAAAACCAGAGCCAAATGTCCTATTTCAACTAATTTTATTACAGCCATTTTCTGAGTCTGACAGAGATTTCTTAAGTGCTAAAAGATTAAATGTAATTGCAATAAAATATGCATAAAAAGATTACATTAATAAAATGTATCAAACGTACTGATGAAAAAAACACACTGAAAATGTGCACAAAACACTGTCTACTCTTGTTTTACTGAAATGATACAATTGCAAATGTTTTTTTACAATTGCAAACTTTTATCACATATGCAAGTGATAGTTTGTAAAAAACAAACAAAAAAAAAAACAGCTTTGAGATATGTTTATGAAAATACAAATTGTATTTTTTACATTCATTAATCCCATGTTTTAGCTTTTATATTACAGTATATACAATGTATTCTACTGGATTTAAGAATACAACGCCTCAAAAGTTCTGCCAGCCTTATTAGAGGTATAGCTGTAAACATAAAGAGGTTCATTTTCATAGTGCAAAAGCAAGCGACAATATTTAAAGAAGTGGGCATCAATGCAAACTGCAAAGCTCATATAGCTGCAGCGTTTGAGTGTACAGAAATTCTGTTAACGAAGTTGCTTTTCTTTGTTTTCACCCTAAATGCAACAATATGGGTCTGTTTTTACACTTTGAAAACATAATAGCATATTAAGAAGTACATTAAACTACATGAAGTTAAGAAAAGCTGAGTGAACTGATCCACAATCCACTTGAACACATTTATGGTTTCTTCTACTTTGTGCAAAGGACACACTTGCTCTGGTCTACAGTGGGTCTACATATGCAAACTGAATATTATACGTGACCTGATGTCCGTTATCCCAGGCGTACAACACCCTCTCTTTGGGGTTGTAATCGATCTGAGTGATGTAAGTATAGTTGTTGCTGAAAGGCAGGTGAGGGATTACCTGAGTGTTAGTGTGGGTGTCAAAGGCGTAGGACAAACTGGTGTCCTGCTGATTGTAGCTATCCGTCGCGTAAAGAACACCGCATACGATGAAGCAATTGCCGTAGCGATTGCGTCGAAGCCCGGTCCTCCATGTGGTTTCACGCTTCATGCTTAGATCATTGGGGTTCAGGAGGCTCAAGACGATCATTTCCTGCAAGAAGCCCTCGTCGTCCAGCGCTGGGTAGATCACCCAAAGTCCGCTTTCGTCGACGGCCAGATCCATGTCCGAGTGTCCTCTCCATCTCCACGTGGACACGTCGTCATTATCAAACACCGCATCGTGCAGCATGGTCCAGGCAGCCACGTAACGCAACCGCAGGTCGTACTTAATAATGTCTCGAGAGAATGCGCGGTTGTAATAGAAAGCACCCTTGTAGACCACATGGCCGGTGCCTATCCAATTATAAGGCAGCTTGTAGGAATTAGTGAAGCGACCTTGAATAAAAGTAAGAAAACAAAACCAGTAAAATTGCTTATTTATAATGTTTATCTGAAAAAAGAGCCATACCTTGTTTGAAGACATCCATGTTGCGGAATTCCAGAAGGTTGTTGCCATAATAATAGTTTGTGACATAGATCTTGTCATCTTGAGCCAGTGGATCCTTCATCCAAGCGCCCTCATTACGACCGTATGTATTGTGTGTGACGGGCTCTGAGATTGTGGCCAAAGTGTCCTTACACATTCCTTCAAACGAAACCCAGAATTATGTTGGTGTTTTATTCATTTTTGTGCCAAACCATGCAAACATTCTGAATTCAACAAAGGGATAGTTCACCCAAAAATGAAAATTCTGTCATTAATTACTCACCCTAATGTCGTTACAAACCCGTAAGACCTTTGTTCATCTTCGGGAACACAAATTAAGATATTTTTGAAGAACTGTCTTTCTGACCCTTCAAAGACAGCAACACAACTGAAATGTTCCCAGACCCAGAATTTTCATTTTTGGGTGAACTATCCCTTTAAGTGATGATGGAAAATATTTTGCTTTCATAAATTGGTACAATTATATGAAGAAAAAAATATATATTATTTTATTGTATTTATTAATATTTTTATTTTTTACTTTCATAATTGGTACAATTATTTTTTTTTTAATTATTTAGAAATATTAAAAAATACAATTGTAATTAATAATAAATCAAATCAGTACTTCCAAAATAAGTTATTTATTTTAACATTTATAATAAAATAATAACAAATAAACAATAATAACATAAAAAATAACAAGATAATGAAATTAAATAAATAATAACAAGAACGTCGCAAAGCTATACCTGGCTTCTTTTGAGGTCCCTCTACCACGCTCTCTTCAACCACAGTTTTTACAGCTTTCATTCTTTCCATTTCCTCTTCTACCACTACCTCTTCCTCTTCATCCCAGCTTATGCTATATTTACGTTTGCCAGGTTTGCTTGGGGTTGTAGTTGTTATTGTGGTAGTTTTTGTAGTGGTCATCGAAGACGGCACTGAGGTTAATGTCTGTTTAGGAGTCATCTTGGGTAAGTGGGTAACTGAGTCTCTCTTGCTTTCAATGGCATGAGGTGACGTCACAATGGTGGTAGCAGCTCTTGTGTGAGCAGTTGATCCCAATGAGCTTTCTGTGACTGTTAAAGAATCCGAATGAGGAGTTGGTAATGGTGTTATTCTCCTAAATGTGCTTTGAGTTAAACTCTCCACTGAAAGCATTGAAGCATTTCTTTCATCTTTCAGATTTTCCTTGGTAACAATTCCATTTTCGGTCACAGAAGATACAGATGTTTTCTTTTCAACAGTCCTGTTGGTGGTGATCTCTGTCAGAGTTGGCTCTGCAGCCACCCCTTTAGCAGCAGCTGCTGTGACTGACTCATTCGTTTTAATGTGGCCCAGATTGGATGACCTGACCAGCATGTTTTGAGCTTGTCTTACAGATGGAGTTAAGGGCTCCATGTTGCTTGCCTCCATTTTTTTGGCGATGGTTTGAGGTATAATATGTTCCTTGTGGATGGTGACCTTTAAATTATCCATCACAGCAGGTGTTGGTGTGGCTCTTTCATTTCCTGTAGAGTTGTCTGTGGTGGAACGACTGGTTTGAGTCTGAACGGATATTGGTTCAGTAGACGTTTTAATCGGCAAGGCAGTGTCCAACAGTCCAGTAAATGGAGTTTGAAAGTCATCTCCACCTTTTGAGACTTCACTCTTGGGTTTTGGGCGGACGGACCACGCCTTGATGACCGGCCTAAAGTGGCGAGCTTTGTGATGAAGGAGCTGCTCGTCGGCAAAGAGATCAATAGGGCTGTCACCACTGTGATTTTCATCTACTGAAATGAAGAACAAAACAGGGCTTTCACAGCAATGCCATTGAAGAACCAATGTAGGTTCCCCAAAGAATCTTAGTGTAAAGAACATTTTAATAATCTAAAGAGCTTTTTTCCAATAAAAAAGTTCTATGGATGTTAAAAGTTATTCATGGAACCACAGTTACCAATAAAGAACCTTCATTTTTAAGAGTGTTTTTCCAAACTTCAAACGTCTGAGATCTTTGAATGTAGATGGTGAAATCAAAGTTATACTTACAGTTCTCCTCTGTGTCTGGCTCATCCACTGGGTCAGATTTATAGTATGTGATCCCCCTAACAATTATTTTTGGTTGCTTCTCCCTTCCTTGGCGCTCTTGTTCTTGCAAAGCTGCAACGGCCTTGTTTAGATCTGATCTGCTGCTCTTCAGGAGATCTCCCACAAACTTTTCTTCATATTTACTCTGTTAAGTACATCAGAGGACACTGTGATACTGCAGCCTTTGAGATATTATGTAATAAAGAAAAAAACATTTAAATTCTGTCATAATTTACTTACCCTCACCATTGTTCCAAACCCGTAAGACCTGTCTTATTTTTCTGTCCCTTCATTGAAAGTCCAGGTAAACAAAACTTAGAAGATCCAAAAAGGTCATAAAGGCAATGTATAATTAATCCATATGAATTGGTTTAATCCAAGTCTTGTGAAGAGATAAGATTGATTTATATGATGATGAATACGTTTAATTTAGGCTTTTTTCCCCCACATATAAACATACATACAGTGCATCACATATGTGACCCTGGACCACAAAAAGTCTTAAGTCGCTGGGGTATATTTGTAGCTATAGCCAAAAATACATTGTATGGGTCAAAATTATTGATTTTTCTTTTATGCCAAAAATCATTACATTTACATTTAGTTATTTAGCAGACGCTTTTATCCAATGCGACTTACAAATGAGGACAATAAAAGCAGTCAAAACTAACAAAAGAGCAACAATATGTAAGTGCAAATGACAAGTCTCGGTTAGCCTAACGCAGTACACGTACCAAGGTATATATATATATATATATATATATATATATATAT